CCATTTCCTGTGGCCGTTTGCGGTCCGGTACGCCGCGCAGCAGCTCAACCTCTGGCCCCGTGTCTCCTTGCCGGAGACATCGCCCACACTGCGTTGGACGGGGGAGGTTGGCGATGCGTCGCGTTTCCGGGTTTGGGGTGCTCGTGCCCTTGTCCGCGATACGTCCGCGGAAAAGCTCTCCTCCCGCACCATTCCCTGTGTCTTCCTTGGCTTTGTCCCTGACGCGCCTGGCTGGCAGTTTTACCACCCCACCTCGCGCCGTGTCTTCCCCTCTCAGGACGTCACCTTTGACGAGTCGGTTCCTTTCTACCACCTCTTCACCACAACTGCCCCTCTTTGCGGAGCCTGGGGGTGCTGAGCCTGCGGCTGCGGAGCCTGGGGGTGCTGAGCCTGCGGCTGCGGAGCCTGGGGGTGCTGAGCCTGTCCGTGAGGTGCTGGGGGGTGCGGAGCCTGGGGGTGCTGAGCCTATGAGTGCGGAGCCTGGGGGTGCTGAGCCGGTGGGTGCCAGGTCGGGGGGTTTTGAATCTGCTGGCGTTCCTCTGGGTCTCGTTTCCCGACGCGGGCCTCTCTCACCGCAGCAGGCACGAGAGTGGCTTGCGTCGCGTACCCGCCTGAGGAGTAGTGCTGCTGGAGCTGCTTGTCGAGGAGGCGCTGGGAGTGCTGGTGTTTCTGGTCCTGGAGGTGCTCGTACTGGAGGTACTGGAGCTGCCGGGACTGGTGCTGCTCCTGGAGCTGGAGGTGTCGGCTTTGGGGGTGCTGCTGCTGGAGGTACTGGGGCTGGAGGCCCTGGAGCTGGTGTTGTCGACCCTGGCGTTGGAGACCCTGGCGCTGGAGGTGCCGGTTCTGGGAGTGCTGCTGCTGGAGGCACTGGAGCTGGAGGTTCTGGAGCTGCTGGAGGCGCTGGAGCTGGAGGTGCTGCTGCTGGAGGCACTGGAGCTGGAGGTGTTGCTGCTGGAGGTTCTGGCGCTGCTGGAGGTACTGGTGCTGGCGGCGTTCCTCTGGGTCTCGTTTCCCGACGCGGGTCTCTCTCACCGCAGCAGGCACGAGAGTGGCTTGCGTCGCGTACCCGCCTGAGGAGTCGTGCTGCTGGAGCTGCTTGTCGTGCAGGCGCTGGGAGTGCTGGTGTCTCTGGTCCTGGAGGTGCTCGTACTGGAGGTACTGGAGCTGCCGGGACTGGTGCTGTTCCTGGAGCTGGAGGTGCCAGTTCTGGGGGTGCTGCTGCTGGAGGCACTGGAGCTGGAGGTTCTGGAGCTGCTGGAGGCGCTGGAGCCGCTGGGAGTGCTGGTGTTTTTGGTCCTGGAGGTGCTCGTACTGGAGGTACTGGAGCTGCCGGGACTGGTGCTGCTCCTGGAGCTGGAGGTGTCGGCTCTGGGGGTGTTGCTGCTGGAGGTACTGGGGCTGGAGGCCCTAGAGCTGGTGCTGTCGACCCTGGCGTTGGAGACCCTGGAGCTTGAGGTGCCGGTTCTGGGGGTGCTGCTGCTGGAGGCACTGGATCTGGAGGTGCTGCTGCTGGAGGTTCTGGAGCTACTGGTGCTGGTGGCACTGCACCGCCGCGACTGTTTTTCGCTCCGCCGTCACCGTCGTCTCTGCCACCGCCTGACTCCGTGCTTCGCCAGGTTCTTAGCCTCCCGTCTTCTACTGGCCTCCCGTTACAGCCCGGCGGACCACTGCCTGCTCCTTCTCCTTACACTGAGCTGACAGACTCGCTTACAGAGCGTCGCGAGCCTGCGTCCCGTCCTGCCTCGCCTGTTCGCACTGGTCGCACTGGTCGTCGTGTTCCTCGTGAGCGTCCTCCTCCTGTCCCCGGCACGCACACTATGGCACTTCGTCCTTCCTCTGTTCCACAGCGTGTTCCCCTGCCGTCTCCTCCTGCGTCCTCTCTTCCTGACGTTGCTGACCCGCCGCCAGACCTTACTCGTGCTGCCAGTCCTACTGTCACGCGTCTGCTAGCCACTGTTGTCACTGACCCGTCGTTTGAGTCGGCTGCTGCGTCTGCCCTAGTTGCCGAGCTTGTAGACTTTGCTGCCGCTTGTCGTCTCGACTACGCCGCTAGTCTTGTTGCTGAGTCTGAGTTTGTCTGTCCTCCGTCCGTCGGGGGTGAGTGTGCTCTTGGCACGGACGTCCTTGAGGACAGGAAGGAGGACTTTGAATGTCTTGCAACCGCTGCGCCTCATCTCGTGGCCATGCTGCTTGCCCCTGAGGGAGACCCGGATGCTCCTGACATCCCGACCCCGCTCTTACACTGAGGCGATCGCGGCTGAGTACTCCTCTCAGTGGCAGACAGCCATGGACGCAGAGATGGCATCCTGGAAGTCCACAGGCACTTACGTCGACGCTGTTCCCCCTCCTGGGGCGAACGTAGTCGATGACATGTAGATTTTCAGGGTGAAGCGGCCGCCGGGTTCTCCGCCTGTCTTCAAGGCTCGTTACGTTGCACGAGGCTTCAGTCAGCGACAGGGAGTTGACTTCTTCCAGAACTTCTCCCCCACCCCGAAGATGACCACTCTTCGGGTGCTGCTGCACGTCGCCGCTCAGCGTGACTCCAAGCTTCACTCTCTTGAATTCAGCACAGCTTTCTTACAGGGCAGCCTGCACGAGGAGATCTGGCTGCGCCGCCCACCTGGCTTCACTGGGTCGTTCCCTCCTGGTACCCAGTGGAGCCTCCGGCGGCTAGTCTATGGTCTCCGTCAGGCGCCGCGCGAGTGGCACGACACACTGAGGACGACACTTGCGGCTCTTGGGTTTGCACCTTCCACTGCTGACCCGTCGCTGTTTCTGCGCACCGACAGTTCGTTGCCGCCGTTCTACATCCTCGTGTACGTCGACGACTTGGTCTTTGCCACTGCTGACACTGAGGCTCTCGCCCTTGTGAAGTCGGAGCTGCAGAAGAGACACACGTGCACAGACCTGGGTGAGCTGCGCAGCTACCTTGGCTTGCAGATCACCCGGGACAGAGCACGGCGCACCATCACACTGACTCAGTCACACATGGTGCAGCAGGTCCTTCAGCGCTTCGGCTTCACTTGGTCCTCGCCACAGTCCACTCCCCTGGCTACAGGTCACTCGCTCTCAGCTCCACCTTCGGACGAGTCCGTAGAGCCGAGTGGTCCGTACCCAGAGCTAGTGGGCTGCCTCATGTATCTGATGACCTGCACTCGTCCTGACCTTGCGTACCCTCTTGGCCTTTTGGCACGCTACGTGGCTCCTGGTAGGCACCGAAAGGTGCACTTCGATGCTGCAAAGAGGGTACTGCGCTACTTGTGCAGTACATCGGGCATGGGGCTCGTGCTTGGAGGGCGGAGCTCAGTTGTCCTCACTGGGCACTCAGACGCTTCTTGGGTTGACGACCTGGCTACGCAGCGGTCGTCACAGGGTTACACGTTCAGCCTTGGCTCTGGCTCTGTTTCTTGGCGGTCTACACGCTCGTCTTCTATTCTCAGCTCCAGTTGTGAGGCTGAGATCTACGCCACAGCCATGGCTGCACAGGAGCCACGCTGGCTCACCTACCTGCTGACTGACTTGGGAGAGAGGCCTCGTTCTCCTCCAGTTCTGTACGTCGACAACAAGGCTGCCATTGCCTTGTGCCATGACCACAGACTGGAGCACAGAACGAAGCACATCGCTCTGCGTTACTTCCTTGCTCGAGAGTTGCAGCAGCGTGGTCAGCTTCGTGTCCCTCACGTGCCCACGCGGGCCAACACGGCTGATGTGTTCACCAAGGCCCTTCCAGCTGGTGATCATCAGCGATTCTGCACTGCTCTAGGCCTGGTGCCTACGTTTCCTCACTTGCTGTAGACTTTGGTTGTACTGTGATCTATATATATATACCTGCATGTTTACTCTTGCTAGGTAGTGATCACTGTACTGTTGTTGTTGCATATATACCTCTGCATGTGAACTGGCCTTGTGGCCCTCTTGCTTGTGCTCGGAGTGTGTGGTGACGTCGTGATCCACCCTGAGCTTGCATTCCTTTTTCTTGACTGGTCTTGTGACCCCTTGTTCTCCCCACTTTGCCTATGGGGGTGTGTCAAACTATATATGTGTTAGTTCTGTGTAGGCTATAGTGGGGTAGCCCATATGGGGTACAACCCAAAGTTAGGGTTAGTACTTGTACCCATATTTCATTCAATGCCATCATTCCTGCTCGCTATCTTGACAGGCTCACCACGTGGCCCAGCTTGCGCACTCGGTTTGGGTGTCGCGTGACACTAGCGCGCGCCTTGCTCTTAATCTCCTCCCTGCCGGCCGAGCGAGTGCACTTTCGCCAGTCGCGACGACGAAGGAGTGTCTGTATGCTATTGTTGCTCGTTACTCCACCCCCTCCTCTGCTACTCTGGGGCACTTCCTCATGCCCTTCCTCTTCCCTGATCTCTCTGCTTTACCCAGAGTCGCTGACCTTACTACCCACATGCGCTCGCTTGACGCTAGCTTCCACGTCGCTTGCACTACTGAGCATCTTGCTACGCACGCCCCCCCCTCATGTATCACACCCTGCACTTCCTAGCGACACGCCTCCCGCACCGCCTCGCGCCTGCCCGCGACGCCCTCCTCACCATGCACCCCATGGACCTCACAATCGATCTCTTTGCAACTCGTCTGACTAAAATCGAGACCCGCCTTTGCACCATCGCCTTCACTACTGGTGCGGTAGTCCCCCCCATCTTTGAGGGGTGCGCTCCGCCCCAACTCCCTATTCCAGCTGCCTCTACAGCTCTTGCTGAGCCTACTGTTATAGCGGAGGCCGCAGCCGTATCTCCCCCCTCTCGTGTGTCGTTACGGCGCAGGGTTAGTCGTGGTCGTGGAGGAGGTGGAGGTGCTGGTACGTCGGAGGGTGCTGGCGCTTGGAGTGCTGGTTATAGGGGTGCTGCCGCAGGAGGTGCTGGTATTGGGGGTGCGACGGTGACTCAGCAGCAACAATAGTAGGAGCGGCTCCAGCAGTGGGTCTCCCGTTGCGACAAGTCTACGCGCTGTCGCGACCTGCAACGCTGACACGGCCTAACCTACACCCACCCGCACGCCTCTCCCTTCTCTTCATGCGCCTCCTCCTCCTCATTCTCGCTATTTCCCCTCGTCTTGCGCCTCTTCCCACACATGCCGCCGCTGAGCGCCAACCGCCACAACTTCCGCGTCCATCTCTACTCTCAAGTCTCTCGTTCTTGCTGTAGCCAATTTAGGGGTGTGTTGAAATATATGTACATACATACAAATTGCCTTCAGTATACGTAGATGTTAATGTACGGTAGTTATTCAACTGTTGGTGGTGCACCATGTTTGCCTACCTCTTGCGCGTATAACTTGGGCTCTTGGCTTTTCTATCTAGTGCCCCTCTTTCGATTCTCAACCTCCTTACGTTTCAACCTCTTTGTTCCTGCTTTTGACTGACACTCACCTCCCCACCAGAGCAGCTCAGGCTAGCCCATTCTACGATACACCAATGATTGGAGGCAGAGCCACTAGTGCAATTGTGTGTATGCGTATGCACGATTTCCAGTATGTTCTAAGTGAACACTCCAGCAATAACTCCCTGCAAACAGAACTACGGCTGACATACTACTATCGGATACAGTACACACAAATTTATACCACGACATTAATCATGATCCCCATATCCACTACTTTTTCAGCAGCTGGTCCTCCCCCGGCAGGTTCTTCCTCTCCTTGGCCTCCTTGATGGTCCACAGGTCCCACACCTTGGTCTTGGGCGGCTCCCTCACCTCCCCCACCGGCGCCACCAGGTTGGGGTTATCAGCGCCCATCACCCCGTCCACCAGTCCGTATTCAACTGCCTCCCATGGGCTCATGAAATTGTCGCGATCCGTGTCAATCTCAATCTGCAATGGAGGACAGGTTCAGGGAGGCGGTGGGAAACTGGCATTAAGATCAAGACAGGTGTGCGTTTTGGCCGAGTTGGGGTTGTGGGCCCCCATCACCCCGTCCACCAGCCCATACTCCACTGCTTCCCATGGGCTCATGAAATTGTCCCTGTCCGTGTCGATCTCAATCTGCAATAGGGGACAGGTTTAGGGTTAGGAGGAGGTGGGAAACTGGTATTAAGGTAAAAAAGGGTGTGTGTTTTGGCCGGGTTCGGGTTATCGCCCCCCATCACCCCGTCCACCAGCCCGTATTCAACTGCCTCCCATGGGCTCATGAAATTGTCGCGATCCGTGTCGATCTCAATCTGCAATGAGGGACAGGCTTAGGGTTTGGAGGCAGGGGGAAACTGGCATCAAGATCAAGAAGGATGTGCGTTTTGGCCAGGTTTGGGTCGTCTTGTCGGCCCCCATCACCCCGTCCACCCGCCCTTTGGACACTGCTTCATATGGACTCATGAAGTTGCCCCTGTCAAGGACAGGGGTTGTCAGGCAAGGAGAGGTAGAAGAGGTTAGGACTGCGGTTGTCGAAGCTGGCAATGCGATCAACCGCATTCCTAACCTCTTCTACCACAGATCGCATTGCCAGCTTCGACAACCGCATTCCTAACCTCTTCTATGAGGTCAAAAAGGGGTCAAAAAGGGGTTGTCCACCGCCTTCCATGGACTCGTGAATTTGTCTCGATCTGTGTCGCTCTCGATCTGTGGTTGGGGGATTGAAGGGGGGACAGGTGGGATGAAGGGTGGAAACGTAGGTAGACGAAACAAAAAGCGGAGGTGGAATGGAATGAACGGGGAGGCAAAGGAAGGTTTGAGAGGAGAAAAAAGGGGCTGCAGGGGTCGGAAGACTGTACGAATGGGAGGGTACTAAATTACATGAATGGAATACACTGAGTGGGATCTGCTGTGTGGGAGGGAGAAGGTACTTGCATCCCAACGATTAAAAGGAGGGAGAGAAGGTCAGGGAAGGAATTAAAGGGAGCAGGAAAGAGAGCAGGCAAGGGGCAGGGGGGGAGGCAAAGGGAGAGACAGGGGGAGAGGCAGGAGGAGAGGCAGGGGGAGAGGCAAGGGGAGAGGCATATGGGGGAGGTAGGGGGTCAAGAAGGGGAGTGGCATGGGGAGAGTCAGGAAGGGTGCAGGCAAGGAAAGAGGCACGGGAGCAGGAAGAGGGAGGCAGGCTGAAGGAGGGGAGGCAGGCAGGAAGAAGGAGGGGGGTGGGGGAGGGGAAGGGGCAGCGCACGCACCTGTTCCTCTGACTTTCCGGTGACTCGTGAGATAATCTTGTTAAATCCGGGCGGAAGAGGCAGGGGGAGGAAGCGGAGGAATCAGGGGGAGAAGGCAAGGCGCGCAGGTGGAGGGCAGGGGAGAAGGCAACAACGCACCTGTTCCTCTGACTTGCCGGTGACTCGTGAGAGGATCTTGTTGAGCAGGAGGAGGAGGCAGAGGGGGGAGTGGAGGCAGGCAGAGGCGTGGAGAGGGCGAGCAGGCAGGGGGCAGAGCACGCACCTGTTCCTCAGACTTTCCGGTGACTCGCGAGAGGATCTTGTTGAATGCAGGCGGAAGAGGCAGGGGGGCGGAAGGGAGGGGGAGGAAGCGGAGGAAGAAGCGGGAGAGGGACAACGCACCTGTTCCTCTGATTTGCCGGTGACTCGTGAGAGGATCTTGTTGAGCTTGACCTTGTGGTACATCATCTCCCGCACCTGCAACCCCACGTCTATGGCCTGCGGAGGAGGCGAGAGGGGTGGGGAGGGGTGGAGAGGAGTTACAGGAAAGACTACTTAAAGGAACCGTTCACCTTGTGGTACATCATCTCCCGCACCTGCAGCCCCACGTGTATGGCCTGCGATGGGGGAGGCGGGAGGTTGGTTGAGGTGAGGTGGGGGGGACACGGGGAAGGAGGGGGAGGGAGGTGAGAGAAGGTGGACGAGAGAGAGGATCTTGTTGAGCTTGACCTTGTGGTACATCATCTCCCGCACCTGCAGCCCCACGTCTATGGCCTGCAGAGAGGGGGTGTGGAGGGGCGGGGGGAGGGGAGGGGAGGGATGGAGAGGGGTTACCAGGAAGTGGGAAGAAGACTTAGAGGGACCTTGCATGCACCTTGTGGTACATCATCTCCCGCACCTGCAGCACCACGTCTATGGCCTGCGGGGGGAAGGGGTCGGGAGGGGTGGGGAGAGGTGGGGAGGGAAGGAGAGGGGTTATCAGGAAGAGGGGGGGGGGCTAAGAGAGACCTTTCACCATGTGGTACATCATCTCGCACCCTGCAACCCAATGTAACGGGCTGAGAGGGGGAGAGAGGGGGTCGGGTAGGGGAGGGGGGTGGGATGGATGTGAGGAGTTGGAGAGGTGCGGTGCAGTGACCAACTTGAAAGCAGTCGGTATGGGCTACCATCTCCTGCCCGAGAGGGGTGAGTGGGATGGATGTGAGGAGTTGGAGAGGTGCAACTTGGGCTACCATCTTCTGCCCGAGAGGAGTGACCTGCAGCACAGCCCCACGAGAGGAGGGTGGGGGATTGGAGTAGAGGGGGGAGGAGATGGGAGGAGTGCAGTACGAGTGAGAGGAGTGCCGTCATAGACGCACATGCCTGCTGTTCCCCACCCTCCCGCTCATTCACGCACTCCTTCCCCTCTCCCCTCTACCCCACGCCACTCCCTTCCCTCCCCCTCCCCCTCCCCCTCCCCCCTCCACCCCGGCACGCACCGACCCCTGCGCGCCTCCCAGCGGCTGGTGAATCATCACGCGCGCGTTGGGCATGCAAAATCTCTTTCCCTTGGTGCCCGTGGCGAGCAGGAACGCGCCCATGGACGCGGCGAGGCCGAAGCAGATCGTGGAGATGTCCGCGCGGCACAGCTTCATGGCGTCGTAGATGCCCATGCCCGCCGTCACCGAGCCGCCCGGGGAGTTGATGATGAGCTTGATGTCGCGCGTGGGGTCCTGCGAGTCGAGCAGCAGCAGCTGGCTGATAATGAGGTCCGCGCTGAAGTCGTCCACCTGAAGAGGGCGGAAGAGAAAGGGGGACAGGGCAAGGGGGAGAGGGTAGACGTCAGGAGTCGAGATCATGAAAACCGCGCTGAAATCGACCACCTGAGGCGAGGCAGTAAGGGGGGACGGGAGGCAGTAAGAGGGCGGAGATGGGCGAGTTAATGAGGAGCTTGATGTCGCGCGTGGGCTCCTGCGAGTCGAGCAGCAGTAGCTGGCTGACTATCAAATCCGCGTTGAAATCGTCCGCCTGCTGAGGGGGAGGGGGGAATGGGGTGGGGGGAGAAGGCAGACGTCAGGAGTCTGGATTGCGACATACGCGCTGAAATTTGACCACCTGAGGGAGGCAGTAAGAGGGCGGACACGGGCGAGTTGATGACGAGCTTGATGTCGCGCGTCGGGTCCTGCGAGTCGAGCAGCAGTAGCTGGCTGATTAGCAGATCCGCGGAAAAATGCCCACCTGCGGGGAGGGAAGGGGGGGGGGGGGGGAGGGGGGGGAGGGGGAGGAGGGGGGGAAAGATGAGGGTGGCGGGGAGGGTGGGGGAAGAGGGAAAGGAGAAGGAGTAGAGGCAGCTGGATCAGGGTAAATCGGCGCGGCCTGACTTTTTAGTCGAGTATACACTCAAGCCTGCCTCCTCGTTAAGAAAGATTATTCGTTGGCACCGGAGGATCCACGCCGGGTGACTACTGAGCCAACTCTAAACTCGCACTTATGTATACTTGCCTGCGTTTCGTGCGAGAAATTCCCCCGACTCAGAAGGATCGACGCGGCCTGACTTTTAAGTCGACTCTAAACTCAAGCTTCAGTGAAACTTGCCTGCGTGCCGAGGAAGATTATCCGTTGGCTCAGGAGGATCGAAGCGGGGTCCATGTCCTGGAGCCGTGGCATCGTCTGCTCCGCGCTCATTCGCGTCGCGGGGAACTGGCTAGCACCCGCCACGTCGAATCCCGCGCCGCCGAGACTGAGTACCGACGGATCAAACCCTAACACGTCATTTCTGCTGGCGCCATTCGAGATCGATGCGCGGCACGTTAGGCTTCTACGGCTGCTCGGAGCGCGGTTCGAGACTGTCCATCGCGGAGCGGACGCGGAACTGTTTCTCGCGGTTTTCACGCTTGCGGTTTGGGCCGCACTGCAGAGCCCGGTAACTTGCCGTGCTAGCGGCGCGGACCCGACTGCGAGCTCCATGGACTGAGTTGCAGCAAGGCAGTGCCGCAAAGCGCTCCTAAAATAGTCCACGTGCCTTCGGGTGATAAATGCTAAGAGATTCTAGGGCTGACCTGGCATTATCTGCTGGGTGGTTGATGAGTGGAACAGAAATCGTGAGTGGGGGCTGCGGAGGAAGGGGAGAGAAGGAGCGCAGCTAAAATAGCGGGGCGGGAAGAGGCGCGGAGTGGTGGGGAAGGATGTAAGGGAGTTGAGGGAGGGTCAATTGGGAAGGCTGAGGCTGGGAAAAGGGCGAAGAGAAGGATTTTACCACGTTCACATAATAAATGTAGTGTAGACAATGCCAAGAAATCTTAAAATCTACAGTGTCTTGAATTATTGGAACATTGGTCTGTTTCTGTACATATACATCACCATCTGCTGCCATTTATAAAGTGTCCGAGAGCATATCTGATTCCTTTTTTAGACTATTGCTTGCTTTAAATGGGTTGGGTCCCATAGGAATGAAATTAGTATCTGAGGGCATACCGTGCTTCAGGTTATATGCTATCACTACAATGTCTCTAGCGTTATCCTAGATATTCTTGTATTGAGGAGGTCATCGCGTTTTGGGCCAATAATTTCGTGCCGCAACTTCAGGCGATTCGCCTCGATGTGTTGTGAGCTGGCTGGAAGTTCTGCAGAAAATGCAATCGATGCCCTGGTTCTGCCGAACGTGAGGTTGCTCCAGAGCGGAAAAGAGGTGCGGAACGAGCATGCGAGCCACGAGCACGGTGAACAAGGTGGTTCGGCTTGGTCGGTGTCGTGGAACACCCAAGGCCGAACCTAGGGACTGCCAGCCATCGTGTCGTCATTTCCTTTGCCGTGACGGGATAGCCTATCTCCCACTCTCATCCCACTCTCTTCACAACTCTCCTTCGCTTTTGGCTCTATCCAGTCCGGCCCTCCAAGCGACCATATGCATCGCATTACAACAACCTGAGATTCACAAGTCACTTCCCAACTGTTCCTGGCTCATTTGCTCACGCCATTGTTGCTTGAGAATCTCGGAGCCTGTTCTTCCATGTTTCGGTGACTTTTCGCGGCAACACTTTCAATTCTTTGTTCTTCTTGCAATCAGAGCTTGTATCAACTCTTCCATAGCTTAGCACAAGTTTCTACCTACAGAGAAGTACCACGTAAGCCAGACCTACAGTCAGAGAATCAAGCCAGTACAGCAACCACGCCGTTATGGCAGGCTACGATGCTGCAACGAGCGAACGACCGTCTCAGACGTCCGTCAATCCTACACCGAAGTCTGTCAGAATGTGGGACGTTTTCCGTCCGCACATTCTGGACTGGATCGTTTTTATCCTTATCACCGCAGGATCCATCGCTATTGACTCCATCCATCCGTTCCAGCAATTCGTTAACGCCGATTACATGCAAAAGTACATGTACCCGTTAAAGCCCGACTCGGTACCATTTTGGGCCGTCCCGGTGAGCTGAATTACCCTCTCGACGTCTAGCTTCTAAAGATATTTATTTCCACTGGCATTATAGGTAGACGGCGAAAGCATTCCACCTCACTTTTCCAAAATAAAAAGGCCTTGAAGTTTCGTAATGCTCAAAAGTGCTGGGCTAGTCGGCAAGACTGGACGGGAGTGCGTTTATGAAGAAATCCGCTTTGCAATGTTATCGATCCCTATTATTCTCTTACGTCTCTCTCCATCGTCGTCAGGTGTACGCGTTTGGGTTTCCATTGCTGGCGATTGCCGTGTCATTCATCATACGACGCGACTTCATCGACTTCCACAGCTCGCTGCTAGGTCAGTGGTGACATTAGAGTCGACTCAAGCAATCTCGTTTTGAGTCGACTCAAAGCTCAGGTGGTACGTGTTTGGGTCTCAATTGCTGGCGATGACCGTGGCATTCATCGTACGACGCGACTTCATCGACTTCCACAGCTCTCTGCTAGGTCAGTTCGTGATCAGCCCGTTCAGTTGTGCCTCAGTCAGTCGAGATCAGTGAGGTCGGTTGTGTATTGTTCGTTCCTCGGTCAGTTCGTGATCAGCCAGGTCAGTTGTGCTTTTTTCGTTCCTCGGTCAGTTGTGATATTTTTGTCCCTCGGAGTTGTGATTTGTCGCTTCTGATATAACCTCCAAGCAGCCCATGTCGTGGCTCATTCCCTCCCTCCCAACCCGCTCACGGCACACAAAGGCAGGTGTCTTTCGCACTTGCCCAAACAATTCGTCATCAGCTCCTTCTCTTGCCCTCAACTCGCATCCCTTCTCCCAGGCCTCGCTCACCTCACAAAGTTCATTTTCAAGTTTCAACACTCCTCCCTTCGCATTCCCTCCTCCGTCAGGTTTCGTCTTCAACTGTGCGACCACCTTTCTGCTCACCAATGCGCTCAAGGTGTCCATCGGCCGGCCCCGGCGCTTGTCCCCACACCAATCCCTCACCCGACTTCTCCTGCTTCTTCCCCTGCCTCCCCTTCAGGTTATGTCTTCAACTGTGCGACCACCTTCCTGCTCACCAACGCTCTCAAGGTCTCCATCGGCCGGCCCCGGCCACACTTCTTCATCGTCTGCTTCCCCTCGGGCGTTCCTGTGAGTCCAGCTCTTCAGCAAATGCACCAGTCAAGATTGCTTCTGACTTGTCAGTCAAGTCAGGAGAAAACCCGGCCACACTCTATCTCTTCATCCTCTGCTTCCCCTCGGGCATTCCTGTGAGTCCAGCTCTTGAGCAAATGCACAATCTGGGCACACGTGTTCGTTCTTCCCATTATCAATTTTTTCCGAGCCATGGCCACGGGTATGATGTCGGGGTGATAGGTGCTGCAAGTCACGCAAGTGTCGTCTGAGACGTTACAGTGCATCCAGAAATTGCCTTCTGGGAACTCAATGCCATACAGTTTACCTCTCAAAGCACCAGTCAATGCAGCGCTTACTACAGTGCAGTGCTTGTCAGTTTTGCCTCTTTCATCTTCCCTTCTTTCACTCCATCTCTTCTCCCTCAAACTTGCCATGGCATGGCAGGTGTGCGGCAGAGAGCAACGCACAGTGCAACGCTCAGGCCAAGTTGGTTTGCTCAACGTCTGTCCTTTCTCGTCCCCATGGCATGGCAGGTGCAACGGGTCGTCCTCCAGTGTTATGGAGTCGAGACTCAGCTTTGAGACATCTCAAAACTAGAGTCCCGCCTCCAGTTAGACCAACCCCCCTCCCCTCCCCTCCCCTCCCCTTCTCTCTTCCCTCCCCAACACATGCTACTGCACTGCCTGCCAGGTGTACGGCAGCGATGGCAACGCACAGTGCAACGGCTCGTCCTCCAGTGTCATGGAGTCGAGAGTCAGCTTCCCCAGCGGCCACACCTCCAGTGAGACCAACCCCCCTCCCTCCTCTCCTCTCCTACTCCCTTCCCGTCCTCTCCTCTCTCCCCTCCCCTCCCCTCCCCTCCCCTCATCTCTCCATTCCCTTCCCCTCCTCTCTCCCCTCCCCTCCCCTCCTCTCTCCCCTCTATTCCCTTCCTCTCTTCCTTCCCCTCCGCTCCTCTCTCCCCTCCCCTCCCCTCCTCACTCCCCCCCGCTCCCCTCCTCTCCCCCTTCCATTCCCCTCGTTTCCCCCTCGCCTCCCCTCCTCTCCCTCCAACTCTCCCTCTCGCCTCTCTTCTCTCCCCTTCTCCTCTCCTCTTCCCACAACGATCTCTCCACATGCAATCCCTTACCTTCCCATCTAGTGCAACCCCTATGCTCCACCTCTCCTCTTCTGGAAAATGTACACCCATCGTTTGCATACCGTCTCTTCTCCTCCTTGTTTCCCACTTTCCCCATTCCCTTCCACCCACCCGTTTCCCGTCCCCTCCCCTGCCCAGTGTCCTTTGCAGGTTTGACCTATGCAGCGCTTTTCAGTGCTGATCTTCAGCGCATGAGGGGGGGGGCAGCTGTGGCGGAAGGGGCCTCATTTCGTCTTCCTCTGCCCCTCCTGTTCCCCACTTCCCCCTTCCCATCCCCTTCCCCTTCCCCAGTGTCCTTTTCAGGTTTGACCTATGCTGCTCTCTTCCTGGCAGCCAAGCTCCAGGCGTCCAGTGCAGGAGGAACGGGCGAGCTATAGTGGCTGGTGGCTGATTTCATTTCCCACTCGCCCCTTCCCATCCCCTTCCCCTTCCCCAGTGTCCTTTTCGGGGTTGACCTATGCTGCTCTCTTCCTGGCAGCCAAGCTGCAGGCGTTCAGTGCATGAGGGAGGGGGCAGCTGTGGTATCTGGTGCCTGAGTTCACATTCCCCTTCCCCTTCCCCCTCCCTCTTTCCCAGTGTCCTTCTCAGGTTTGACCTACGCTGCACTCTTCCTGGCAGCCAAGCTGCAGGCCTTCAGCACAAGAGGGAGGGGGCAGCTGTGGCGGCTGGTGCCGTCAGCATGCTGTCTGGCGGGTGCTGCTTCTGTGGGCATCACTCGAGTCGTGGACTACTGGCACTTCCCGTTTGATGTCTTTGTGGGAGGGTTGATAGGTAAGGGCTGATTCACTTCTAGGCACGTGCCTGTTCGGGTTCGAGGGGGAGGGGCCAGCTGTGGCGGCTAGTACCGTCGGCATGCTGCCTGGCGGGTGCTGCTTCTGTGGGCATCACTCGAGTCGTCGACTACTGGCACTTCCCCTTTGGCGTGTTCATGGGAGGGTTGATCGGTAAGGGCTCATTTACAGGTAGGCCGACCCCCCTTGCACGTGCTATGTGCTCTTCGTGTCACGCGAGTGGATGACTACTGGCACTTCCCCGTCGACGTCTTCATTGCCATAATGCTGTGTGCATGAGAGCATGGGTGCATTGAGAGCAAGAGGGCATGATTGCATGGGTGCATTCGGGCAGGAGTTCAGAGGAGGGTTGTAGGGATCCACCACATCCCCACGGCCAGTGTAGGACGGCGGTTGTCGTCCAGGCAGGTGCTTGCGCTGTTGGCATCTCCTCGACCTTTTTCTTCTGCTCCATGCCTTGCCTCCTTACCTCCTCACCTCCTTCGTGCCTTGCCCTCTTGCGTCCTTACCTCCTGCCCACTTGTTTGTTGCATTCCACCTCTCCAAACATCGTCTACTACCCTTGACTGTGCAGGTATGGTGGTTGCAGCCATCTGCTACTTCCTGCACTACCCTGCACTGTCCAACCAGAACTGTAAGTCTTGCACTGTCTTATTTGACATGTCTTCTTTTAAGGTGCCTCAAAAGGCATCTGCTTCTTCCTGCACTACCCTGCTCTCTCCAACCAGAAGTGTGCATCTTGACTCATTTGACCTAATTGATATATTTGAAATTTTTTAGCTTGTCCCTCGTTCTCCATGAACTTCATACCTCACCTTTTTTCCTTGCACCAGACTTCGTTGCTTTGCCACCCATCACGCAACTAGCTTTCTTGTTCCAAAACCGTTTGCTACCCTCCTCTTGCTCCGGGCATCTACCCTTGGTTGTATGATCAGGTGACATTCCGCTTCTGTCTCTCGGCCCAGATGCGGAAACTTGTCAGGTTTCATGTTGTGGGGGCAAGAGAGCTCTTGCTGCGGACCTAGAGCCCAATGAAGCCAGTGGAGAGCCCACTGAACCTAGTGGAGTGTAGAGGATACAACAGGTTCTGATGTGAAATACTGTAGTTGGTAAAGCTGAGAGAAAAGGAAACCCTATCCGAGAAAGATTCTGAGGTGTTAAATGCAGTGCTGTTCATGTGGCATTGATTCCCTGACAAGGAGCTAGCGTTTGCTTCTAAATTATGCTGAGCTTTGTACCTAGCACACTGTATGCACCGACAAGCTTGTAGTGTAAGCTGAGCTGGCGGAACTGAAAGCTTCTACGATTTCGCGCAGTTGTATCGGAGAAGCTTCTAAGACATCGCAAATCCACAAGAAACAGAAACCAGCGAATTAACAAATGTGGCGACTTAGGGCGATGATGTTCGTGCTTGTTCGCATCATTGTTACAATGTTCGCAAGAATGGTTTAGTCTTTCGCAAGCACTTCTTGTTTCACTGTTTGTTGCTGCTCCTTCAAGTTTGGGCAACTGTACTTTCCTCCATCATTATTATGGCTGCTTGCGCAGCAGAATTCATGGCTGTTCTCCATCCACTCCCAGTTCCACCTGAGTCCTGTCGCCACCACGAAGGATGGCTAGGATGAGAGGAGCCTGGGCGATGACGGTGTGGATTCTGTTTTGAGAGCCGTACAGGGTCGGTCATTCCTCGCCTCGTATTGCGTTTTGTTTGGCATTTAGCGTCTTGTCTGTCATCTCCGTCCCGCGTTCCTGCCTGCCTGACTGGTTTCGCATGTAGTTGAATCACCCGCCTCTAGTTTCTGAGGCGCTTAAAAAGACTGGTTTCGCATGTAGCTAGAGTACCCGCCTCTTTTCAAAAGAATCTGTTTTGACGTACGTTTGACGCAAAATGTCTGACGTGGCGACCGACGGTCAGGCCACAAGGCGGCGCGGGTCCCTCAAAGCCCTCTTTTATAAATATGCTGTCGACTGGGGTGTGCTGCTGCTTATTGTCGCCGGAGCAATCGCCGTCAATTTCATCGAGCCGTTTCCGAGATTCGTAGATTCCGAGGACATGGAAGGGTTGATGTACCCGTTACTGGACAACACCATCCCGTCATGGGCTGTCCCGGTAAGATTGCGTACATATATCAGTTCTAATTTTCTAAATGCGTTTTCAGTGTGCAATACTCTAATCTGGCAAGTTGTGTCTAGATTCTGCATCCGGACTTTCTCTCAATTCTGAATCTTGGTGTCTAGCTCATGCTTGAATGTTGAATGCACCAGTATGAGTAGCAGCAGCAGCAGCAGCAGCAGCAGCAGCAGCAGCAGCAATATTGTGGGTCTCACAGCTCTGCGTCAGCTCGAGTTATCACGTTTTGCCACGTTCACACCTTCCTGTAACCCTGTGTCTACCAAGCGGTGACTCTCCACTAGACTTAAAGCCGCTTGAGTTCGCTGCCTGCCATCTTCACTCTCACCTCCCTGCAACCCTGTAAATCTGTCAGTCTGTATCCCTGTAAATCTGTAACAATGTATCCACCAGGTGATCGCCCTGGGTCCTGCTGCCATCGCGTTCCTCGTACATTACACCATCCGCAGGGACCTCGTGGACATCCACCACTCCATGCTAGGTGCGTTGTGCTGAGTGTGTCGTCTTGTGAGTTGACTTGCAAGCCACTCCGCAGGGACCTCGTGGACATCCACCACTCCACCCTGGGTTGGGACGCGCTGAGTTGGCTTGTGAGTCGACTCAATGGTTAAAAGTCAATGGTCAATGGTCAAAGGTCAACGGCCAATGGTCAAAGGTCAATGGGACATTGTGGACATCCACTCCACCACGCCATGCTAGGTGCGGCGCACTGAACTTGTCGTCTTGTGAGCTGACTGACAAGCCACTCCAAACCATGCTAGGTGTGCTGCTCCAGGCCTGCTCACATCCAGTCCTTGCAATCTCTCCTACCCCCCTCCTCTGCACCCCCCAGGCCTGCTCTTCGCCTTCTTCTCCACCATTCTCATCACCGCTGCTCTCAATGTCTCGGTTGGGAGAACTTTCAAAGATCCCTCTTCACCTCTTGCCCTCTCACATCCAGTCCTTGCAATCTCTCCTCCCCCTCACCTCTTCACCCCCACCAGGCCTGCTCTTCGCCTTCTTCTCCACGCTGCTCATCACCGATGCTCTCAAGGTCTCCGTCGGCCGCCCCCGCCCCGATTTCTTCATCAGATGCTTTCCCTCGGGAGTCCCTGTGAGTCAAGCTAGCAGCTTTTTGTTTCCTTGTCGAATTTTGAAGTGCCTCGAAGTCAAGTCAGCTGCTGTTTTCGTGCCGTTTTCCCTCGTCCATACATTCCTTTTAACTGTCTGTGCACCCCGTCTCGTGTGTGTGTGTGTGAGCCGTTACCACCCTGCCGCTGCCACCCTGCCGCTACCACCCTGCCGCTACCACCCTGCCGCTACCAGGTTGCCATGTTTCCATGTCTTGCGTAAGAATATTCTTAACATGTACTCTGTGATAGAAAACGTTTTGCTGTAAATCACTGGAGGAACACTCGAACATCTCAACTCCCCTCGCTCGCCCTCCTCCCTTCCTCTTCAGGTGTACAGCAGCAGTGGCAATGCGTTGTGTAACGGCAATCCGTCCATTGTTAGTGAAGGAAGAAAGAGCTTTCCAAGTGGCCATGCGTCAGGTAGGTGTGTGCCTCATCTCATACGCCCCTGTGCTTCCTCTTTATGACCTACAATTCCTGACCTGCACCTTTTCTTAGACCTCCGCCTTCTTTTGTTATTTGTGAACCATCAATTGAATGTACGCATCCTCCCTCCTTGTCCCATCCCCAGCCCCTTTCAGACCCCCCCTCCCCCTTCCTCCCCCCCCCCCCCTCCCCTTCCTGTTCCAAATGCAGTGTCCTTTTCAGGCCTGGCCTATCTCTCTCTCTTTCTGGCAGCCAAGCTCCACTCCATCTCCTCCTCCTCCGCTCACCTCTGGCGCCTGCTGCCTCCTGCGCTGCCGCTGGTGGGGGGGGTTGCTGTTGGAATCACACGCATCGATGACTACTGGCACTTTCCTTTTGACGTCTTTGTTGGCAGTCTTATAGGTGCGTAATATATGTATGGAATATATACACACACGTCTGCGCTGCCGCTGGTGGGGGGAGTGGCCATTGGAATCACGCGAATCAATGACTATTGGTACTTCCACTTTGATGGTTTCGTTGGCAGCTTCGTCGGTGCGTGGTTACTCATGCCTACTTGCTTGCTTCTTTTCGTGTAGTATCTCCCACTTCTCTTATGAAAAGAAGCAAGTAGGCCTTGCGTGTCCTCCCACTTCTCAACGCAGTCTCTTTCTCCTTCTCCTTTCCCTGTCGACTTCCTTGGTGCTTTTTGTGATGCAGGCATCTCATTTGCTGCTATCTGCTACTTCATGCATTACCCATCTCTGCGCCATGATTACTGTATGTTACGTTGTCACCCCACCTTGTGATATAGGTTGGAATTGAGACGTCTCAAGTTTAATTTCTGCTGCTGTGTGTTACTTCATGCACTAACCCATCTCTGCACCATGACTTCTGTACGTTGTGTTGTCACCTGCACTTCCTCCCATCCACTCTCTTTGCCTCCCTCGCACGCCGTCTACCCTCCCCCCTTTTCTCAGTGCCTGCCTCCCGATCTCTGAAGCCCTTCCGCTTCTCCTCCCTCTTGTGTTTCGGTGGATCTCCTCTATCCTCACTCTACAAACTTCCTCGCTTTCTTAAACCCCAAACCTTGTGGTTGTTGGGTGTCTTTTCCTGTTGTGTTGACATATTGGAACCTGTCACCACTTCCCCGGGCTGGCATGTTATCACAACAGGTCATCTCCCTCGCGATGTGGTTAGGTCTGAGGTTTCTAGAAGAGCTGTTCTGGATGACAACATTGACTCGTCGTCACTTGATGTGCCTACCAGCGGTGATGATGGGTCGTCGCAGGTCTGATGCGCTGCAACGAGTTAGCGAGATGAATTTCCATGTACTACTCTTTGTGTACAGATGCACAAGATTCCGTATATGGCCCCTATGTGTAGCATACACAGGAAGTTCCAAGTGTATGCTAGTTTCACTTTGCACCAAGGCACTCTCCTTCTGCAATACAGTATTTAGGCTCACGTCAATGTGCTCGTTTGAGGTTATTTGCCCGTTAGCAAGCGTTGCTCATGAACCAATCCCTTCTGCCGAGAGAAAGACAAGGGTGCAACTTCACTTACCTAATACTTCCATGCTTTGCAATGGAAAGTTGTCCCTGCCAACCTGACCGTCACCTGACCCGGCGATCATAATGCAACGTCTACACCAGTCCCATCACGCTCGCCGTGCCTCACCAGGGGCAGGCACTTGTCGGCATGTGTGAGACCGCACGAGATGAACGATTATTGCATTGCGACTGAAATAACTTATGAACATAGGGTTAGGCTGAAACCCAGGCAAGAGGGGTTGATTGAAGTTGGAAGCATGTACTATCCCCAAGAAAACAATCCTTTTATGGTGGCTATGAGTTACCAAAACAGGAGTAGTATAGCGTCTAGTGTTGCGTGTAGTGTAGCGTGTAGTGCAGCGTGTAGTATGATTTTGGCTAGGTGCATCGAATGAAAATGGCATGAGTCTGAAAATTCGGTGACTTGTACAGTGCTGTCGCGTTATGATGCAGGGCTCTGCGGGGTTGGACAAGGAATCGATGATGGGAGGAGGCACGTGCGCAAATCGACCCTATCCCGAGCTTCAGCTCACAATTCCGCCCACCAGATCAGCAAGATGCCATCATCAGCATCAGGTCAGAACGGATCTGATGTGGATTCCCCAAAGCTGCCATGCACACTCACGACACGAAGTGCTGACGCCGTCATTGTCCCTTCCCTCTTTCCAGAGGTCAAACTGACTGCAGCTCTGCCTTTCCCGCGTCAATAGAGTCATCATCTCTGCGGGTGTGCAGGCACTCCGCTGGTCTCATCAATGTGGGTGGGACCCTGCAACAACGGGATTACGGGACACATACATCCCCTCCATGTCGTAGTACCGTATGATCGTATCCCTCCCAGTTTCTCCCTCCCCGCGCGATTTCCGCGACATGCCCGCTTGCGGTGACCTGTCCGCTCTGCTCCCCAACAGAGTTCCCCCTTCACCTGTCCCCGGTCCCGACACACCCATCTTCCTCCGGCCACCCCTTTCCCAGAAACTGGATTTCCTTACTGCCACGGTGGCAATCTCAGCCAGTGGCGTTCCACCCGACCCACCCTCGTTGGACGCGACGGCTTCGCCTCATCTGCCGCTCCCCTTGCGATGTGCTTTCGCGCGAAATCACCTGCTTCAGCGCGCATCTCCTCCCCTTTCTCTCCAATCTTCCTCCCCCGATCCGCAACCTCTCCCGCCTATCATGTGCCTCCGTCTCCGCCATGTCAGCCAATCGCGCAACACCCTTGCTCCTAACCTCGCCAGCGCAACAGCCAAGCAGCCGAACGGTCGACCTGTTCGTTGTTCTCGAGAAGTACGCCCAGGTTCAGTGTACGTCTACCCTACACTACAGCGAAGAGGTTCAAGAAACAGACATTGATAGCTGAGGTGGTGGTTCTCTGTACTGTAACAAGAGTGGTATGGTATGGTGTGTGGGCTGGGGAGGAGAGACTGTGGTTCTCAGAACACCATACAAACTGCATGATTGAGAGGAAGCTCTTATCCTTGCTCTCGCTCTCCTACAGGCTGTAAGCTGCTTTTTTTCAGCCAGTGGCTGACGTCCTCTTTGGCTGGTTCATATCCAAGGACAAGCTCGTCCTTCTTGCAAGCTGCCTGCACTTGGTTCCCAGGTCTTCCGGAAACCCTAGGAGTTGTTTCTCAGGACTGCCATATCTCACAATTTTGATAGACTATAGGGGTGTCAGAGTGCAAGCTCAGAGAGTCAAGGATTTTTATGTGTGTTATTTTTCCCGAGCTCTTTTTTGTGCTGGTTGCCTCGACACCAACAACGAGAGCTTGGCTGCAAGATACCTTAGCGAATTTAGAACCGTATTATGCGCATGGCTCCCTCGCCTACTCTCCAGCTGCTGCAGACCACTCATAACACCTCCTCAATTTCCGGCTCGATTTTGAAGCCTGAACCCGAGCATTCCTCGAAGCACGAGCCGCAAAACTCATCCTCGTCGTTCAACTTCTTCAATACCCCCTCCGCGTTTTCCGCCGTCTCTTCCTCGCCGTCCGAGGCTCTCCCGCAGCAAGCCGCTCTCGCCTGCAACTTAAACCCGCACATGGGACGCGGCTCGCCTGACCGCTCCGCCATTAATTACAGCTCAACTCACCCTTTTTTACAAAGCCAACATCAGCATCAAGCACTGTTGCAGCAAGATCATGCACAGCAGCACATGCAGCAGCAACAGCAATTGCAGGCGGATATAGTAAGGCCACAACAACAGCAGCAGTCACAGCAACATCAACACATGCAGCAGGACAGCGCACATCGCGCTTCACCGCAGCCTCTCTTCGCGAAAGAGGAGCCTCGTTCGCCCTCCTTCGGTGCCGGCATCTCTGCGAACGGCCGCGAGCCGACTCCCACTTTTGTCTTCATGAGCCCGTCGCCTAGTCTCGAGCAGTCGCAGCAACAGTCGCAGCAGTCTGCGGACCAATCGCAGCGTTCCAACAAGCATCATAGGTCATCCAGCGCTCCCTGTGTACGACCCAATCGCGAGTTCGCAGGCGAGCCTGGCGACGGCGACGGCGACGTCGAGTCCGATCGCAAGCCTGTCGTGCGAACGAAGCTGGAGCCATCTGGCGAGGCAAGCAGCAGCTCACTCGGTAATGGCGCGATCGTTGCCGTTGGATCTTCGCGATTTAACGCAGAGGACCTAGCGGCTTTCGAACCGGTTAGCGTATGGGGTAACTCGTCCTTAGAAGAAGCGGATCCGGACATCTGGCGATTAATTCAGGGAGAGAAGCGGCGGCAGCGGAGCTGCCTGGAGTTAATCGCGTCGGAGAATTTCACCTCGCAGGCGGTTCTCGAGGCGCTAGGGAGCCCGATGACGAATAAGTACTCGGAAGGGATGCCCGGAGCGCGGTACTATGGCGGGAACCAGTGGATTGACGCGGTGGAGAATCTGTGCCGCGAACGCGCGCTCGCCGCGTTTCATCTCGACCCGCAACGGTGGGGAGTGAACGTACAGCCGTACTCTTGCACGTCGGCGAATTTTGCGGTTTACACGGCGCTTCTTACGCCGGGAGATCGGATCATGGGATTAGATCTGCCTTCCGGCGGGCATCTGAGTCACGGATTTTACACCAACGGCGGGAAGAAAGTCTCGGGCGCGTCGATTTATTTCGAGACGCTTCCTTATAAGGTGAACCCCGTTACTGGATTAATCGACTATGAGCGCATGGAGGAGAAGGCGCAGGAGTACCGCCCGCGGCTGCTGGTGGTGGGCGGAAGCGCGTACCCGCGCGAGTGGGATTTCGCGCGGTGCCGCCGCATCGCGGACAAGTGCGGCGCGATTCTCATGTGCGACATGGCGCACATCAGCGGGCTCGTCGCGGCGCAGGAGTGTAACAGCCCGTTCGATTTCGCCGATGTGGTAACCAGCACGACGCACAAGACGCTCCGAGGACCTAGAGGCGGGCTCGTCTTCTACCGCCGCGGTCCCATCGTCTTTCCGCGCAGCGCCGCCGCCGCGTCGGCTACCATGGGCGCGGCCGGCGCCGGCGGAGGGGAAGCCGCCGGGAATAGCGGCGGCGCATCGGCAGCAGGCGCGAACACTGTGCGATGTTGTTGTGGAGGCAGTAGCTGTTGTAAAAGCGGCGCAGGGGGAAGCGGAGGGGGAGGGGGAGGCGGAGGGGGTGGAGAGGCGGCAGCAGGGGGAGCGAGTGCTTCGCCTCCGCCGCCGCCGCCGTCGGCGCGAGTGCCGGTGTACGATTTGGAGGACCGAATCAACTTCGCGGTGTTCCCGTCCATGCAAGGCGGCCCGCACAACAACCACACGGCCGCGCTCGCCGTCTCGCTCAAGCAGGCGGCGTCTCCCGCGTTCCGCGCGTACATGATCCAGGTGAAGCGCAACGCGAGGGCGCTTGCAGCGGCGCTTGCGCGGCGGGGGTGTCGCA